CAAAGCCGAATTTTTTTTAGAATCTGGAAACAAGTCTTTTGGAACATTTGGATTATAAATTAATTTTAATGGGAGATTTGAATGGAGTGGCATCTGCGTTAATGGATAGAACTCAGAGACAAAAAATATTGAATGCTGGCAGATTACCTAAGACTTTTTCGAAATAACTGATAAATTTGATCTGTCAGATATATGGAGAGTTTGAAATCCAACTGAAAAAGCCTTCACATTCTATTCAGATGCAAATCAATCATTCTCGAAAATTGATTATCTATGGATATCCAGAGACTTGGTTCCCAAAGTATCAAAAACGGAAATTTGTCCTAAAACTTGCTCAGACCATAACACAGTTTTTATGGAAATGAAAATATTTCTACAGGGAACCTTCAGATGGAGAATGAATGATGATTTGTTGAGGAGTGACCAAATTGTAAATAAAGCCCAAAAAGCCCTAAAGGACTATTTTGAAAATAATATGAACCAGGGATTGGAAACAAGGGTTATTTGGGACGCCAGTAAAGCAGTAATGAGAGGATTCCTCATTCAACAAAATTCAATTAGGAGAAAGATACAGAATGAGAAAAAGGATAAATTTTTGGACCAACTGAAAGATAAAGAGAAGATCCTCAGAGGCAATCCAAAGAATTTGCAGACACAAAAGGAGATTAACGCTCTACAGACTCAATATTCACAGATTATTAATCTAGAAATAGAATGGAAATTAAGGATGATGAGACAAAGGAACTTTGAATCTGCAGACAAATGTGGGAAACTTCTGGCTTGGCAAATACAAAAGAGGCAAAAACAAAGCACTATCACAAGCATCGTATCAGAAGGAAAGTTTGTGGAGAACCCTGTGGACATAAGAAGATTTTTTCAGAAATATTATAAACAACTGTACATAAAGGGTAAAGAAGATAATGCTAAAATTGAGCAATTTATTAGAATTAATGGTTGGCAGGAGCTGGGACAGAGCAATGGGAGCTCATCCCATCACAGGGATTTGAACCGCCAATCTTCTGATTGACAAGCCCAAGAGGCTCAGTGGTTTAGACCACAGCGCCACCTGCACTTAATAAGCATGTGGTTGTTCCATGTGGGGTATATTTAAATATCTGAAATGGCATGATAGCCCTAGTTATGGAAAAAGGATAGCCAGCTTGGGGGGGGGCGCGAGATTTAATTGGGCTATGTCAAAGAAAGCGTAATGCATTTATGAAAGCATTCAGTATGGAAGATATTGAAGCTTTTTTGTGGGGGTGGGATGGGGAGGGAAAGGGAACTTTGACCAAGAGGAATATCAGGAATATGTATAATTATATTATGATTATTATAAAGGTGCCTGACTCATAAACCTAACAATTCACCTCCGCTTTCCCCCGAGCAGTAAAGCATAGTCTATTAATGCAGTTTTTGTTGCTAAAGTCAACAAAGAGCCTTTTGTACCCTACAACTGAAGGGCATAATGTTGTGTGGCGAGTTCCTGCCTCCCACCAGTGGAAATAACAACACATGACACCATATTTTAGGTTAATGGGCTAAAATTGGCCACAAATTTATTGGTTACAGGTGATGAGCGGTATTGGCTTAGGCATTGGTCCTATCAGACTATCCGGCTTCAGCCTGTTTGCATGAAGACCGGGAAGGGTTAACACCAGCAGGGGGAACCCTGCTGATGCACATCAACTAGGGACTCCCCCAGGGTCACCGCTCGGGGGCATGCTTTAGGCCCTGACCTCCATAGGCCTCGGACGAGGCAACGCCCCCCAGAATCCTTTACCGGACTACCCTTCAATATTTGGGGGAGGTCATGGCACTCCCCCCCCAATACATCTACATAATAATACCCCTACCAATGCCTAACCACCACTCGAGCAAAGCTTGCCACCAATACCCTCAAACCTGCAACCAGTTCCTAATCCCAGCAAATATATCTGCAAGCCAAACATCGTTTCCCGCATCGGAAAGATGCACGCCATCCTCATGGTAGAGGGCCACCTTGCTAAACTGGATGTCAGGGTGGTCTATGACCCGCCCCCCCAGTGCTGCCGCTCTACGAGCCACTGAGCGCTCCAGGATCTTCCTGGCTTTGTTTACAGCTACAGGACATCAGCAATCTCTCCAAGTGCACCTTTCTAGCAGTGATGACCAAATTACAATTAGATTCGGGAAAGAGATTCACAAATCCTCCAAATCATAAAAAATATTCCACATTAAGTCCACTCCCTTCCGGTAAGCAAGATTGTTTTCACTCAACTGGATGACCAGTGCCTTCTGTGGCGGCTCTAGCTTTGACTGCAGGCAGAAATTCCACCCAACGCATTCCACGGCGGGTGATCCATGATATTTCAACATTTTTTGGTAGGTCTAAACCGCCCCCTCGTCCACGGCTGACAGCTCTGTTTCTGGCCCAATGGACGATACTATGGCCTACGATCCAAACACGCACAATCGTGCCACCTAAAAGGAAAAGAAGATGGGGGGGGTCAGGGGTGATGCAAACCAGTCAAAAAGTCTTGCGAATGTAACCCTTAAAAGCATCGGATTTCCATCTACCCATGTTCTTTATCCTTTCTGCCGGTAGGCCTAAGTGTACTGCAGTAGTGGCTGCCCCAATTCGAAATGAATGGGCGGCAAATTCCATTGGAGGGAGACTGCAAGCCGCAATTGCCTTACGCATCACGCGTGTAAATTGATATTTAGTGAGGTGGGAGCCATCTGAATGTATGAAAAATGGGCCGGGGGTGTTAGGTCTCACATATAAGTATCATCTCGCATCCTTTACTGGGCATGGACCCTTCTTTTGCGTAGCTAAAAGCCGAATTAAAGCCCCTCTTCCTAGTTGGTCGGTTTTAGAGCTCCGAATATGAAGAACCAGATCTAAGGGAGATAACGCTACGTCCTTTAATAGGATCCCCCTCGTGACCGGGTGTGGCTGGTCATGCTGGTCATCGCAAACGACCTCGCCTATGCGCAGGGTGCCAAAGAAGGCAAAGGAGTAAGCCGCCGAGAATAGGCGTGCTTCATACTTTCACCAACAAATTGTCCTTAGTTTTTTATGAATTTGACATAGGGTATCAAATGTTATGGGCCTTCTACTATCGGTGCTGGGGGGTTGAAGCCTACGCCAGCCTTCAAGCGCCTTTCGCACCAGGAAGTCAGCACAAGGGTCAATCGAGTACATGGCCTTACAAAGAAGGCTATTGCTGCAGACTGTATGTTAAGCGTCTTTGCAGCACGACCCAACCCCCGCAAATGCACTAGGCATTTTAAAACTTCTGCCCTTGCAGGGGGGGGGGGTATTGAGTCTATCCTTCCCCATTTTACTCCAGAATGCTGAAAAGTCAGACCACGCCTTCTTATATGATCTAAGAGTTGATGGTGCCACAGATGCTAATACTCCCTTTAGAACTTCTCGCTCCCAAGGCTCCAAAGGTGCTCCGGAAACGGTTGTGGCAATTGCTGCGCATCCGGTGTCAACGAGTGGAAGCGATCCATCTGGAAACGAGACAGAGCATTCGCAATGTCGTTATTAATACCTGGTACAAACTTATCCGAGAAATAAATATTTAGCTTCAGGCATAAGAGGACAAAGGACCGCAGCAAGACTGAGACTCCCGGGGAACGCGAAGACTGCCTAGACAGGACTGACACAACCGACTGGTTGTCAGTCCAAAAGCATACCCTGTGATCTTTAAACTGCTCCGCCCACAAATGTACCGCGACCACAATAGGAAAGAATTCTAAGAAGGTAAAGTCCCTGGTTATAGGCATACCTTGCCAGTTCGAGGGCCATGGTTGTGCACACCACTGACCTCTAAAATAGATTCCAAACCCTAAGGAACCCGCCGCATCGGACTGCACCTGAAAATCGGCCTGCAGCGACAGGCTGTCCTGCCATAGTGAGATACCGTTGTACGCCTCCAAAAATTCGAGCCAAACCTCTAAATCCGACTTGACCTCCTTTGGAAGTCGCACCCTGTGTTGGGCCCGCAGACCTGCTGACTACCTTGCCAACCACCCACAAAAAGGGCGGCCCGGGGCCACAACCTGGCAGGCGAAGTTGAGATGACCCAGGAGCGATTGAATTTGCCTTAATGCGACCTTCTTGAGGGGCAGCAGCTATAAAATAAACTCCTTAAGGGCAATTAACTTTTCCTTAGGGAGGCGAGAAGTCTAAGCGATTGTGTCCAGCTCTATGCCCAAATAAGTCATGGTAGTGACTGGGCCCTCACTTTTGTCATTTGCCAAAGGAACTCCGAGCTCCTCTTCCAGGGATGTAAAGGCTTGTAGCAGTGCTAAACAGTCTGGCACATTACTTGCCACGAGAATAAAGTCATCCAAATAATGTCCCACCCCCTCAGAACCGGTTTTAAAGTGAAGAGCCCAGTCCAAAAATGTGTTGAAGGTCTCAAAAGCTGCGCATACCCATGGGTATGGCTTTATCTATGAAATACGCCCCTTCAAATTAAAAACCTAGCCAACGGTAGTCGTCTGGATGAACCGGAAGGAGGCGAAAAGCAGACTCAATGTCACACTTAGCTAACAGGGCTCCTCTCCTGAAACTACATATGAGCTTTACCGCTTGGTAAAAGGAAGCGTACTTCACTGAACACAGTTCCTGCGGAATAGCATCATTAACTGAGCCCCCTCTAGAGTAAGAAAGATTGTGTATCATGCGGTATTCCCCAGGGGCCTTCTTTGGAACAATGCCCAAAGATGAGATGTGTAAGCCCTCCATGGGAGGAACTGCGAATGGGCCAGCTACCCTCCCAGCCCTTATTTCTTTTTGTATTTTCTTTTTAGTGATAGCAGGCATGTCTTTTACCGATTTCTGATTAGGAGGGTTCCCAGGGTTAGGTGTGAATGATACTGGGTTTCTAAAGCCAAGGGAAAACCCCTCCAATAGAAACCTGGTGGCTTGTTTATTAGGGTATAAATCTAGGAGAATTTTTAGAGGTTGCAGTTTAATTGGAGAGAAGGCCAGACAAAGGGATGTATTAGTAGCTGTTTCTGGCTGTCCTTTGGGAGGGACCGGGGGCACCTCGGTTTCCCTGGTGAAAGTGCCCCCTGCCACCCCGAAAGGGCTGCTTACCTTTAAAGCAAGATGTGGCCAGATGATTGCCCAGGCACTTTTCACATTCATGCAAGTACTTACAACCTGGACACACACAAGTTCCGCGGTTATACTCCCAACACTGCCTACGTCGTTTTAGCTCGACCTTCCCAGACTTAAATGGGTCCTGAGGTTTCTTTTCGACACAAGGACCCACATGCTCCATCCAATAGTTCTGGTCTCTAAGGTCCCAGCGGGTAGTGGGTAGCAAAGAAGCGTTTCTGCGAAAATCTTCATCATAGGTTAAAGCGGCCACCTCCCCGGCCAGGGCATAGGCCCTTCTTACGTGGGCCAGGTAGGCTGCCAGATGCATACTGTGTTTGGGGTAACAAGCAGAAATTACTCCCATGAAAACCTGAAAACCATCCAGCCAATTCTCAAAATTGCGCTCTGTTCTGTACCTTCGTTTCCCATACGTGTGCTTCTTTTCCCCCTTCCCTGACACTTTCATTGGTGGAAGCAGGGTGAACATATCTACATAATCCCCATTTAGAATCTCGGTCCTTTTCCTCTTGGACAGGTGATTGTCCAAAATGAAGTCTGTGGAAACATTAGTGGACGTCTTAACGTCCTCCACCAAGGCACCACCCTTCCATTCCAAGGACCCATTAAATGTTTTACGATGTGAATTAGCCCTCCTCTTGTGAACCCGAAGAGGGACCCCAGAAATATCCTCGCCCAGGTACTCTTCCAGTGGGGTGTCACTGTCAGAGTCTGAAGATGACTTACCTGACTCGTCCTCAGTGTCAGAAGGCTTACTCTTCTTACTCTTCTTCAAAATGTGCTTCTTCTTTGCTTTTCTCTCCCCCCCCCCCCCATGTCTCGCTGACGACCGGGGCCGGCTCAGTGGTTGCAGGCGTTTCCTCCTGTGCCTGCGCCTCCTCCTTGGATGATGAACCAGATCCGCCCTCCGTGGGGGTGGGCTGAGACGGTGTGTCCTGAAATATGCTAGGGACATCCAGAACCTGCTGCTGTGGAATAGAACAATTAGACCTAGCCAATTTTGCTCTGCCACCCCCAGAACTGGGGGTAGATTTCTGGATGCGTGAAAACTGAGAACGTGTGAGGGGGCGGTTGCCCGAGCTGCTACTAGGCTGTGCCACACCGGAACCTGATGCTGATGAACCTGGGCGGCCCTGTTCACAAGTGGGGTGTCCGGAGTGCAGTCCTGCGTGCATGAAATTGCCACGGAGGTACCTGCGACCGTTGGCCTGCATTGTAGATAGAAGGTTTCAAAAGCAGAAAAGAACTGAGCAAAAGCCTGAGGATTGCAAGGTATAGAAGGTACCTGAGAACCGCCCTGAACACCGGAGGGGGCCTGTGAGTTACCCCTGTTTTAGTAGTTCCCTCCTGTGGGAGGAAGGACAGTATACAGTAAGATGATGACAGTGATGGTGGTGGGTAATAGCAGTTGATCAGCCTATACTCCTCCTTTCTTTAACAGTAAGTGGCTATCACAACTTTCAGTGGCAATGAATTCCGTAAGATAACTATAAATTATTAAATTTTGTGTGTTTTGAGTCTACTATTGACCAACCCATTTAGGTGAATCTGAGTTCTAGTACTGTATGAAGAGAACAATATATAACTTTCCACCTCTCCATAACATGATATATTTTTATAAATTCCCATCAGTTCCTCCCATGGGCTGTCTCATCTCTTCGCTGCCCCAAATGAAGAATCCCTTCACACTTCAGACTTTCCTTTTAGGGAAGGTAGTTGAGCCCCTGAAGCATTTTAGCTCCTCCTCCTTACTCATTTCCAAGCTGTTAAAATATCCCCTTTAGGTAGAGTGTATTTAATGCTAAACTTTCCAGCTTCAAAATTCTTACTCCACCAGTTCAGTTCGGATGAAAAGAATAATAATATGTGCCTTTTTGCCATTCTGCTCATGATTTTTCTAAGGAGGAATAGAAAGCAGAACTGAAAAATACAGAGCCGCTTCTTTGATACATGTTCCCCATTTCCTTCAGACAACATGATAAAAGCACAATTTCTCAGCTCCCTACAATAGCAGGTGAGGAGACTTGGAGGAAGCAGAGCTGGCTCATTCATCAAGCGAGTTTACTGACGGCAACCCAAGCCACAGGTGCCAAGCTATTTTTGTTCTGGGAGTCCAAAGCTACATAGCCATGGGTGGGGCCAATGGTTGTACCACCACACCAAGAGTAAAATATCTGGGTTGGGGGGAAAAAATAATGGTGCCTGAAGCCTCTCAAAATATTGGTGCCGTATGTTGCGACACTGCACATGCACCACTGAGCAGTTTGCCCTGCCCCTCAACACCCCGCCCCGGGTGCCGGAGAGCCTTCCTTCGCCCCTGATCTGGCTAACCTGATTCACAACACCCACCCCACTCACACATGGAAACAAAGTTCACCACAGCCAATCACAAACAACCACACCCTAGGCCAACCCCAACCTCTCTCACCACCAAAGGAATACAAGTGAATAGCAAACAGAACCCACACAAGCGACGCTGACACAAAACCCCACACATACACCAAGTAGAACAGAAGCATTGCCACCCAACCCCACCCCACCCACCATTCCCCCTCCCCCTCTTCCCCCTTTTCTTCCTAATGTAACACTAATGTTTCAACAAATGAAACTGATCTGTAGAAAATATAACTTGAAAAAAGAGATCTTGCACATACTTTTGTAAAGCAAGAAATCTTTAATAAAAATATGTTTTTAAAAATAAAAATAACGATCCTATCCACCTGTCAGTGCCACAAAACTCTGCACATACACTATGCAAAATAATTAAAGATCATTATTTCCCCTTCTTTCTCCCACATCTCTCTCTGCCCAACTTCACAATGTCTGTGACAGCAGCACCTCACACTGAATGTAACTGACCTGTAGAAAGGACTCTTTGAATTGAAAACAGAGATGGTATATGAACCATTGTTATCCATAAAAAAAATTCAATGAAAACAAACCAACAAAAAAAAGCACACAAGTTGTCTAAGCTACAAATGTCTGTGGTTGTTTTTTTTCCCTGGAGGGTGGGGGAAGGAACATTTGCATTCGCTTTGTTAAAGCCTGCAGTAAATTGGCCCAAAGGACGTTCCATAGTGAGGGTACCAGTACAGAGAATGCCATGGATAGGGATGTAAGATTACGGAGGTCCGTTCTTAACCTGAAACTGTTCTTAACCTGAGGTACCACTTTAGCTAAAGGGGCCTCCCGCTGCTGCCCCCCCCCCACTGCTGCATGATTTCTGTTCTCATCCTGAAGCAAAGTTCTTAACCCGAGGTACTATTTCTGGGTTAGCGGAGTCTGTAACCTGAAGCGTCTGTAACCCGAGGTACCACTGTACATTTTGCTACAGTGTACTCTTGGTGCAGATCATTAACAAAATGGCTCCTATGCTCTTCAACCAACAACCTTCGGTGCTGTCTCAAAGTGACTTGATCCCGGCTCCCCAGGAGAGGGTGCTACTGACACACCAACAGAAATTTTACAAATGTAGGGCTGAGCCTAAATTTCCCAGAAAATAATTTTCTGACAGATTTTGCAAATGTTCTTTATCAACCTACCCATTGGCCAACGTTACCATTCGTGAACGTTGTGTGCAGCTGCGGATTCCATTTTAATAATGTTTAATGTTATTTTAATGTGGAAGGGAACAATGGTCTTCGCTCCTAGTCCTTCTTGACCATCTCTCTTAGCCCATTGTTTTCTTCATCCACCCATATGAATAAATAATATAGGACATGGTTGCCTAAAGAAAAGAGCAAACTGCAGGGGAATTTAACCTCCAATAATTGTAAGCAAAATCTCTTCTCCCTCCCCCCCCCCCCCAATTAACTGCTCACAAATTGTGTGGAGAATTTTGGTAGGCAATTTTCTCTGAGTCCTAGCAAAAAGATTCCAGAAACACAGCTGGGGGCAGGAGCATCCCTGAGCTATGATCAGGACCCTTCAAGGGGGACTATAGATCCTTACAGAACATAGCTGTCAATGTTTCCCTTTTTTAAAGGGAAATTCCCTTATTCCGAATAGGATTCCTCGCAAGAAAAGGGAAAAGTTGACAGCTATGTTACAGAACCAGTCTACTGTCTCCTAATTCAAGTGAGCCACCCAATGTCAGATTTAGTTTCACTTGAATTGCATTTCAGTCCAAGCTATTAATATAGTGGTACAGTGGTACCTCGGGTTACAGACGCTTCAGGTTACAGACTCTTCAGGTTACAGACTCCACTAACCCAGAAATAGTACCTCGGATTAAGAATTTTACCTCAGGATGAGAACAGAAATCACGCAGCGGTGGCGAGGCAGCAGCAACGGGAGGCCCCATTAGCTAAAGTGGTGCTTCAGGTTAAGAACAGTTTCAGGTTAAGAACGGACCTCCAGAACGAATTAAGTTCTTAACCCAAGGTACCACTGTATTTCGGAAGTCGAATGGAATCCGTTCTGGAAGCCCGTTCGACTTCCAAAACGTTTGAAAATGTTCAGCCAACCGGAAGCCGCGGAAGTGGTATTGGACATTCAGGTTCCAAAGAACGTTCGCAAACTGGAATACTCACTTCTGGGTTTGTGGCGTTCGGGAGCCAAAACATTTGACTTGCAAGGCGTTCGAGATCCAAGGTACAACTGTACTTCCAAATATTGGTGAAGAGATTCTATCAGCTGAGACATTTCAGCAAAGGCATCTTTTTTCATCCCTGCATGGTAATCTACACCTGCTAAAAAAAATAATAATTCATTAAATGTATTAAATGTACACTGACCACACAGAACAAGTCAGACACTTCTGGCCAATGGATCAATGAAATGCATACTTACCAAAATGCCAAGCAGCCTAATAAAGTTAGAAGTGTATTTTCAGTCCTCATCATATGCACATTGCTCTTAACAAGAGTTTATTCTGCTTTCTGTAGCCAAAATCTAATTTGATCAGGAGCTTTATTAATAATATCAACAGGGACATATATTAATTGAATTCTAGTGATTGTAATGAGTGAGATAATTAAATGTTCTTGTTAGTTTCCTCCCCTGGAAATTTGTGAATTGTGTCTTGTTAATAATGCAGCACACATATTGGATAATAATAATAATAATAATAATAATAATAATTTATTATTTGTACCCCGCCCATCTGGCTGGGTTTCCCCAGCCACTCTGGGCGGCTTCCATAGAAACAAAAAATACAGTAAAATATCACAGATTAAAAGCTTCCCTGAACAGGGCTGCCTTAAGATGTCTTCTAAATGTCAGGTAGTTATTTATCGCTTTGACATCTGATGGGAGGGCGTTCCACAGGGCGGGCGCCACTACCGAGAAGGCCCTCTGCCTGGTTCCCTGTAGCTTTGCTTCTCGCAATGAGGGAACCGCCAGAAGGCCCTCGGCGCTGGACCTCAGCGTCTGGGCAGAACGATGGGGGTGGAGACTCTCCTTCAGGTATACCGGGCCGAGGCCGTTTAGGGCTTTAAAGGTCAACACCAACACTTTGAATTGTGCTCGGAAACGTACTGGGAGCCAATGTAGGTCTTTCAAGACCGGTGTTATGTGGTCTCGGCGGCCACCCCCAGTCACCAGTCTAGCTGCCGCATTCTGGATTAATTGTAGTTTCCGGGTCACCTTCAAAGGTAGCCCCACGTAGAGCGCATTGCAGTAGTCCAAGCGGGAGATAACTAGAGCATGCACCACTCTGGCGAGACAGTCCGCGGGCAGGTAGGGTCTCAGCCTGCGTACCAGGTGGAGTTGGTAGACAGCTGCCCTGGATACAGAATTGACCTGCGCCTCCATGGACAGCTGTGAGTCCAAAATGACTCCCAGGCTGCGCACCTGGTCCTTCAGGGGCACAGTTACCCTATTCAGGACCAGGGAGTCCTCCACACCAGCCCGCCCCCTGTCCCCCAAAAACAGTACTTCCATATTGTCAGGATTCAACTTCAATCCATTAGCCACCATCCATCCTCCAACCACCTCCAGGCACTCACACAGGAC